CCCTGGTTTTGTGACGGTAATCTCTCTCCCCCCCCCCCCCCCCCCCCCCCCTCCCTGCCCCCCGGCACGAGCATTGAGGCCGCCCCTTCACCCGCCATGACCACCGTCTTTTTTGATTAATCTTATTTATTATCATATCGAAGTGAAAAATAGAGTCATCATTGCAATTAGCCAGGTACATTGTAGTAAGGCACCAGTCATCATTCTGTATCAAACTATGATGCATGATACTAGAGAACTAACTCTGAACTGTGGTTCCAATATGTTGCCAATTGATCTCATCTTCGGGAGTCCATGATTTAAATCTACCAATGTGCTACTCTCCCCTTCTCCCCTGTTATGCTCGCCCCACTCGATGAACGGAAACCGCTGTGCTACGGTCGACCAAACCCCTCAGGTTTCTGACTTCTACGGAGTAATACACATTCAGAAATATCTCGGAGATTAAATTAGATACCATGGTAAGATGACGAGAAAAGAGTTTTCATGCATGCAAGAGATGACTCAGCCACGCAGTGTTCAGGAGTAGTCTGTCTAGCAGCACCAATTCTTGAGATGTTGAGCCGAGTCACTCCGTTCTCCGGGTCCTCCGTACTCCGTACTACTACTCGTAGCGACCTCCACTCACCCTTCCAGCATTGGATACTTCTGCGGCTGTGGGATCCGACTGATTCCACCAAACGGCTACAGTGCAGGGCAAGGGCCAACGAACATTGGTCGTTCGTGGTCTTGGCAACCTCATCAAGAGTTATGCATTTGCAGTTTGCATGCATGGAACCATCCGCACGGAGGGAAATTTGGGAAAATAGGAAAGACAAAAATAAAAAAACAGACAAATCCCACACTCAGCAAACCTTCCTCTCCTACGGTCCTACTTCACGCTTGCAGAGCGGATTGTGATAATTGTTAAGTAAGCCAAAGCAGCGATCCTTGCCGATCAGCCTTGAACCTCCTTTGTGATTGCAAGCTGTTCCCTCGAAAGGTGAACCTCCCGTGCCGTGGGAAGACGCCAGTTCATCGCCAAATCAGCCCATAAAGCCCCCCTTTGCAGTTTAGTCATGATATTACCACTATCTTTTAACGAATCAGCAGGAGGCATCGGTAGCCTGAGGCTGCCCTGAAACTGACTAGAAACCGGGGCTGCCTGTAGGTTGCGCCAGCCAATGAGTGCCTGGCATCGTTCTCAGAGACACAGGCCTGTGCCACAGTTTTGCTAACTTGCGGGATTGCATCCATTGCAGATGAATTGCCGAGGTGGGCCAGGATCCTGCTGCTCTGCAATCATCGATCACATGACGATCGACAATCCTGAGAACTGGCTAACAGGCAGAGGTCGACTAAGCAACATATACCTACATCTTGCGGACCAAGGTCAAGTGTGCAGGGGATGTTCGGCAAAATAGACAACAACTCAGGCATTTGAGAAGTAGGGGTGGTTTAGCGCCTATGCTGGTTAATAACAGACAGACACTGATGTCCTGGAAGACGTACCTCTTCAGCAGAGAGTCGCTCGCAGCTTTCATATCGGACAAGTTTGCTGACCAAGTCACGCCCCTTGGACGAGGCTCCTTTGAGGATTTCGTCCCACTGTTTGGCGGGATATTTCTTGAACTCTATCTTTCCCCAGTCAGGAAGAGACTTTGTTTCCTATTGTCAACGTCAGCTCGTTATGATGTGAAAGGTGGCGTGAAAGATGGAAGCAGATGGGTTGAAGACATACCGGCCAAGTGCTCTCGTCCGGAGTGCCCAATGTAAAGAAGATTGACTGAATAAGGGAAAGATCACTACCAACTGGTCCCGAGTCGAACAGTTGATGATGTCCCACGGACAAGGCCTCGGCCACGACACAGCCAGCCGCCCAAAGATCAAGGCTATTTCCGTAGCCCTTGAAGCCGAAAAGGATCTCCGGTGACCGGTAGCAGGTGGTTCCTACATCTGTGATCTTCTCATCGGCTGGTTCCGAGTCCCTAGTTCCCTCCTTCCAAGCGATGCCAAAATCTGCCAGGTAAGCGGGCCCATCGGGAGAGTCCATGAGGATGTTGGATGGTTTGATGTCCCGATGTATGATCCCCAGTGAATGTATATGTGCCAAGGCACGAAACATGTCTTTCAAGTGAGATCTTGTCTGTGTCGCCGTCAATGCGCCCCGGCGGAGCAGTTGCTCGAAATCATGCTTCATGAAGGGGAAGACCAAAGCCAGGCGTCCTCCGTCTAGCTTGAGTGTGTCGAGCAATGGAATCACATGGGTACGGGCTGCATCACGCAGCAGCTGAATCTCACGTGTGGCGTGGTGTGGAGGCGCCAGCATGTGTGGGATGAGTACTTTGAGCGCGACGACAGTGTTGTCCGCTCGCCGCGATTTGTAGACAGTCGAGTGAAGACCATCAAAATGATGGAAGCACGACTGGTATGGACCAATCACCTCGCCATGACCTGGATCAGACTTGTCTGACTCCTCTTGAAGCTGATCTTGACAGTCATCAAGACGGGCTACCGAGTCGATGGTATCTGCTGCGTCAATTGCCTGTTGGCAAAGCCTTTCATATTCTTCCTACGCACTCAACAATGAGAAACGGAAGCAATGACCATAGCAGGAGAGAACTGACACGCGATGAAGCTTGATCATAAGCTTCGTTTTCACATTTCCTCGCCTGGGATTGGGCCTCTGTGAATGCAGCGGAGGATGAAGCTCGCTGGAAGGCAGTGGTACTATATTAAATAAGTACGAGTCTGGGAAAGAGCAGTTGAATGCATACAGTGATTGAATAGCCGTCAATCTTTCGGAGAAGCCTAGATCTCTCTTCCACTCCATTGCTGTCTGAACCCTCGTCTCCGAAGATTGAGGGAACTAGAAACAGAAGTGCTAGTAAGAAATAGACTTGTATGCGAATGAAGCGGAGCTCGTCCCTAACGAGTATCCAATACAAAACACAGAACGTGTTGAAGAGGATTGTTCCAGACCGAATCTTCGGCTGAATGAACCTTGAGTCGACGGTAAGAGCCGTACGGTAACTATCGAGCGTTCAAGCGTTCAGGCGGTCGCGGGGAACATGTGACAGCTAGACTTGGTCAGAAGTGGTTTAGTGTGTTGCCTGTTGCGGACTCGGCCAGTTCGGCTCCTCCGCCTGGCCTTTCGTCGGGCGTTGCAGTCCGTCCGTCATCGTCATCACCATCCATCCTCGTTCCCCGTCCGTCTCCTTCTCTTCCCTTCCTCACTCCACCGCCAGCTTTTGTGCCTTAACGCGCCTGTCGGCTCCTCCGGCTTCCCTCCCCTCCGTCGCTTCCAAACAATCACCGTGTTGATGCTCATTAATTCCTCTTGAGCTAGCTCTTATTATGCGCCTCCGAATTTTGTATCCTCGCAGCTGTGATCTATGAGAAGTAATGGACCTCTCTCGGCAGGAGTATCCGGCGCTGCTGGTACGATCAATCTCCATTGCAACACCATGCCCCAACCAGCCCCCACCTAATCAAATCTATACCACAATCAATGCTATCGCACAAATAGCTGATATTCGGTTTCATTGTTCTACATACAGGCCTCTTTGCAGCCCAGCCAGGCGACCAATGTGCTTAACGAGCGCATTCGCACCATAAACAAAATCAATGCGGACATTGCGGACTGGCTCCAGGTAAGGAACCTCCTACCTCCTTAACCCTCTTCCTTCCTAGAACGTACCGGTCTAACGCGTGGGGATGTCAATTGTAGGAACGTCGACGCATTGAAGAAGTATATGCTCAAGGCCTAAGAAAGCTTGCGCATCGCCCACAGTTAGACAATGGAGCGGCGCTAGGGTAATGCTGGCCACCCGGGCACGTTTCAAGCTTATGGAAGCTAACATGTACATCGCACTGCAGCGTATTTCAGATCCCATGGCAACGCATCGTCAGTGCTACTGAATCCATAGCGCTCTCCCACGAAACCTTCGCGCAAAAGATCGATGAGGATGTTGAACGACCTCTGCGGGAATACAACAGCAAAAGCCGTGAACTATCATCGATGCCTGGAATCCAGAGTGACCTTGCGGCGTTGGCGAAGAATTACGAGACGGCGCAGAAGAAGGTTGAGAAGGCCAGGGAAAAGGGCCCCAAGGGCGCCGACAAACTAGCCAGTGCTGTGGCTGCTGCCGAGGAGATCATCCAGCAATGGGACTCAAGGGCCCCGTTTGTCTTTGAACAGCTGCAGGCGGCAGATGAAAGTCGCCTCAATCATCTAAGGGACGTCTTGACTCAATTGGAGACCCATGAGTCCGATCAGGTGGAACGCAGCCGTCAGGCGGCTGAGAGCTGTCTCAATGTTCTCCTCAACGTCGAAACAGCAGACGAAATCAAAACATTCGCGGCAAAAGTTAATGGCGGACGACCAGTTGCTCCGCGGAGACAGCAGGCCGCCTCCCCTCCTCCCGTAGCCCCGCTCTCTCCTCCACCGCACCTTCAGGATGATGCTGCCAGCCAGCGCTCGGAAACGTCGGGACCAGCCAGAGCGCCTCCCGGTAAGTATTCACTCTCGGCTGCGAGGGAGCCTGATGTTTCTAGGCATGGTAAACTAATCGGTCAACCCTAGTTCCTGAGCCTCGCCACAGCACTCCTCTCGGGGGATTGAAACGACTAGGAACGGTGATGAATCGACGTCGGAGTATTGTACAGCCTTCCGGCGGTGGTCCGTTCTTCTCAGACAAGAAACACCGAAGCCCATTTGCTTCTTTCAAGAGAGGGGATTCGCGCGATCTGCAGATTCCGGAGACTCCGCCAGAAGGATCTGATCGTCCCGGCACCGCCTTGAGTACTCAAGAGGGCCATTCTGGATCCTTGAATATTCCAGGAGAATTTCCCGAACACGAAGAAGACTTCAATAGATCAGCATCTGGTCCAGTCTCTCAACCAGCACCTGCCGTGGCTAATGGGGAAACCCCTCATGAGATTTCTAACGAGGCGAGTTCTACCGTACCGAATGAAGTAAGTCGCACCTGGAAATGCCCAAAAAGATCCTCACTGATAGCTTGTCCAGCCACGAGTAGACTCGGAGGGCTTCTCGGAGCGGCCAGATACCATCGACGAGATTACACGGGCTCAAAGAGAAGCGGCTGGGTAGGTTATTTGCGCCATGCTGATCAAAAGTTCATTGCAGGCTAATATCATCGCAGTTTGGAAGAAAGTGGCATAAATCTGACCATCCGAGACCAGCCGATCTTCGAGGATGAAGATCAGGCTAAGCAGGCAATGGATGATATGGCCAACCAACTTAGACTTGTGAGTACAGGACACATAAATACCGCGTAGTTGAAGAGGCGCTAATACCCTGCATAGCGAGCTCAACAATCGGGAACGAGGCGCAATGCAGGTACTCTGCGCGGCCGGCGTGACGTCCGCAACACGGTTTTCATTCCTAATCCCGTCCCCGGAAGCGAGAACCCTGTCTCGCCCTCAGCATCTGATCCTCCTGTGCCACTTTCTCCCTCAGCGCCTTCGAGGCATGTCCATTCACCCACTGCCGCTACAGATGACCATACGCTCTCCGACACCACGTCGATTCGCTCGGGGCATACATTGCACAGCGCATCGGGCATTGTCGCCCACCCAGAGCTTCACGGACCTGGTCTCAATGCTTCGATAATAGATACCGTCAGTGCATGGTTCTCTGAAGGAGCCATAACAAAGACCCACGTTATCGGCGAACTTGCTCTTGCCTACAACCCTATTCCCGACACGCCGGCAGAAACTGCTCGAGTTCGACTCGACAACTTCCAAATATTGGAAAAGGTAGCCGCTAACCCACACTTTGTCAGCGAAGAGAAGAACAAGGGGCTATCGGATGAGCAAAGAGGCCAGTACAAAATCAACCTAAGTGGCATTACTCGCCCCTCGCCGACCGTGGCTTTCAAGTACCAGATTCACTTTGATCCAGTGAATGCTTCGAGCTATTGCCCAGTCATCTTCAAACCAGTCTGGAACATCGAAGATATGCAGGCCAGTGTAATCATCTTCTACTCCGCCAACCCTTCATTCCCAAAGGGAAGTTCGATCAACGTCAAAAATCTATTATTGACGGTCAACCTTGACACATCCCCTCTTGAAGACCGAGAGGTGGCCCATGCCACAGCTGCTGTCATGTACCCCAACACGGGAGCCACGTTCCGACGCAAGCAATCGGCGGTGACTTGGAGGCTTCCTGAACTTGATGTCACAGCAGGATCTGATGGCAAGTTTCTCGTTCGGTTCTCGACCGGAACCAGTGGGCCGCGGAAGGGTAAAGTGGATGCGAGATTCGAGGTGCACAGGATCGAAGATGGGGCCCAACTAGGAATCAGCACAGCTTCTTCACCCGAGCAAAGCGTACAGAAGAGCACTGATCCTTTTGCGGACGAGGATTCAGGAACGCCGACTGCGGATGCGGGTTCGTCTTCCGAATGGAACAGAGTCCCCACTCTGCGCAAACTGGTCGCAGCTAAGTATGTCTCATCTTGAAGTCTGCGTCCGTGACGACTCCGCGGTGTGCGAGTCTTCAGTACATATGTACAATGAGCCAAACCCCCCGAAGTGTCTCCGAAGTGGCGCATAGGATGCCCAGCACTGCATCTCGCGGTTATTGCGCACAGCTATTGGAATATATTCCATGCCGTTGCAGGACTGTATGTACATGGTTGGTGTGTGTTCGTACTGTGTTTGCCCCGCCTGTACCTGTACAGTCACCACACCAACCACACAGCGCAGGTTTTCTAATTTCCCTTCCTTATATCTTTTCACTATGTCAAAGTCCTCTCTGTCTGCCATGTTATTATTCCCTCAACATTTCCTTTCCTTTATAAGCTTCGTTTCCTTCTCCTCCCGGACTCGTGGTGGTGTAAAAAAATCATCCCTCCTTCTGTTCCTTTGTCAGAATAAGTGGAAATGTCTAATGCCTTGTAAATGCTCAATGCTCAAGTTCTACGTCGTGCTCTGTCTCTTTGGTGTAATACTTCTTCCATGAACACCCACGTTCTACCCATATCGACTTGAGACCTTAGATTCTATTCTACAAGCTAGTTCCCCGGGGCTTCTTGTGACTCTGCTCAACAGGGTGTGTATTCGACTTGCACTAGGCACTAGTGTACGGAAATTGCGGGCATGGCATCTACACATACCCTAATTCGTGATAAAAGACACGACCACGGATCATGAGAAGTTTGCAACGGTATAACAAACATGGCACCAGTGATGCCTGTGCCGGGGGAATCATTTGAGCTATCGAGCTAATCAAACATGCACACACACACACATATACAGAGAGAGAGAGAGAGAGAGAGAGAGAGAATGGGGCGTGGAAGAGTGTGCACTACTACTGCTGCTGCAAAGATTGTTTGAAATCTACATGCGCGCCGCCCTGGTCGTTTTATCGTAGAAATCCAGGGTCATGGCCGCCAGGAAGCAGGGGATATCCTTGCGCTCTTCGACCCAGAATTTGACCAGGGGACGGATCTCCATCGCGAAGAGGCTGTTGGGACCCCCGGAGATCTTCATGGTCCCATTCTCGCCGTCGAAGATGATCGAGTTCTCCTCGCCGTTACCCATGCTGCCGGGTCCCTGCGCGTCCGATGACGAGCCCCCACTATCCCGGTCACCGTGCCGGTACGCCGGGGAAAGATGGAACATGGAGGTCACGCGCACGCGGCCGTTGGGGAGGAAGTCCAGCTTGAAGCCGAGGAGGGAGGCGACCGCCTCGCGGAACTCGGAGGACTTGGCGGTCCAGATCTCCTTCAGGCGGCGCATGCGCTTCTCCTTGTCGGCGACGGCCCGCTCCATGTCCTGGATGTCGAGCTTCATGCTCTCGAGGGTGCTGACGGGGACGACTTTGATTTCTGCATTGTGGTTGTTGCCGCCACCGCGGAGCTGCGCTAGCAGATCCTGGTTCTCGGCTTTCAGGATGCGCAGGGTCGACATCTTCAGGTTCTCGGCCTCGGCGGTGGGGTTGTCGCGCAGTTCGAGGATGCGCGTGCGCGACTTGGCCTTGAGGGATCGCAGCTGCGATTTGGCGGCCTCCAGCTCTTTGCGCAGGAGGGTCGTGGCCTGCTCGGACTTGGTGAGCGTGTCCTGCAGGCTGCGGTTCTTGCGAGACAGGATGGACAGGCGTTCGCTCTCGGCGTCGCTTTCGGCCGGTGAGAGGGGGCGCTTGACGCCGCGAGGCTCGTCTTGCTGCTGCTGCTGCTGCTGCTGCTGCTGCGTTGCCGCCGATTCACGCTGGGAGAGCTCCTCGTGAACCTTGGCCAGTTCGGCTCTGTACTCGTCGACAAGCTTCTCCAATGTGGCGATCTGCTCGGATTTCTGCTGGTCGAACTGGCTCTGTTCGGCATTCATGGTCTCCTCTTCGGTGTCAAAGGTCTTCAACTGGGCGCGGAGATACTCGACCTCTTTGATGGCGAGGGTGCGCTGCCTCTCAAGGCGGGCCTTAGCACGGCTGTCTGCGGTGGCTCCGCCGGCTGCAGAGGCGGTAGCGCGAACAGTCTCGAGTTCCTTCCGCAGGGTGGTCTTTTCGGCTTCCAGGCTTCGGATCTGTTCCTCCTTCTCCAGGGATTCGGCCTCAATGCTGCCCAGCTTGTCGACAAGGGTGGCTTTCTCGATCCGTTCCTGTAGCAAAGCTTTGACAACCGATTCCGGAGAGTCAAGCTCAGCCGGTTGGTCGTTACCCTGTAGGAGACTAGTCCAGGACCGTCGCTCGTCTTCGAGTATCTGCATCTGGATCTGAACGGTCCCTAGCTCAGACTCCACGCCCTTCATGAGTTGTAGCTGATTTTCCAACGATCGCTTCTGCTCCTCTACCACCTCCACATTCTTCTGCACCTTACGCAGGTGACGTAGCTCGATCGTCTGTTCACGATTTGTAGTCTCCAAGTTTCTGATGTGATTGACCTGGTCCGACAGCTCCCGCTTGAGAACAGACAGTGCCTCCGTGTCGCTGCCTTCAGCCTTCAGCCGGAGATTCTCCGATTCCAGGTGTGCGACTTCCGTTTCTCGTTCCTGTAACCTTGTTTGCGTGGTATTCATATCACTTCGTACAGTCTGCAGGTCGTTCTGCAGCTCCTCGAGTGTTTTTTGAAGCGATGACCGGATCGTTTCCAACTCGTTGACCTGATATTTGGACTGTCGTTCCTGGTCGAGCAGTTGCGCTTTGGTATCGTCGACATCTTCCTGCAGGGACTGGTTCTGGTCTTGGAGAGTCCGAAGTCTTCGCTCCAGCTCCGCTTTCTCATTGAGTGCGGCGTCCTGAGCCTCTTTCAATTCTTTCGCAAGGGTCTCGCTCTTGTGGCTGGCACGGTGACTGGACGATTCTGCTACCTAAGCACGATCCCCCCAAGGAAAAACAAATTAGCCATGAAGAACACGTCCGTCGACTGAAAGGGGTGAGCGTACCTGGGCTTTGCGGAAATCCGCATCTGCCTTCAATTGCAATTCCCGCAGCTCTTTCTCATGGCGCAATACCATCAAGTCTCGCTCCTGCTTGAAGTTCTCGAGTTCATACTTTAACGTGTTTACCTGGACGCGCAGTTCTTCCTTTTCGGTATCTTTGGAGGACGATAGGTCAGGATTCCGTGCGATAGTAGAGGGGGTGCAGGTCTCACCTGGTTTCGAAGGGTGAGCTGGTTCTGCCAGACGACTCGATAGCTGAAAGACACTCGGAGCTGGAGGGAGAGCCAAAGGGGATTCAGGTGGGGGAGAGCCCCATGCTGCACGCGAGTTTCGTCTTGAATCCATCTATGAACGTCTTCCGTTAACTCGAAATCTCTTGTTATGTCATGCGACGAAGGGTTGGACGTACACTGAAGGATAGAAGCAGGCCAAGCGAACCTGGCTGGACGGTTCACCTTTTGACAGCAACACAGCACAGTCAATGCTAGGGATCACAGATATGCATAGGCCTGACCTCCAGTCTGGTGACGGGAAGTACAAGCAAGCATCACTCAAAAGCTCATCCACTAGTACTTCATTTGTTTGGGGTTTGCATGCGCGGCGATGAACATCGGCATCCGCACCTGCACCACGCACCACGGCCACCGGTGCTGACTCAGCCGCTCACCGCCCGCGAAAGCTCCCACTTTAGAATAGGACTAGCGCCGAAATTTTGAATGGATTTCGAATTTTTGCGGGTTTCAGCAAAAAGACCGGACGACTATTTCTCCCCCACGCCCATCGCCCTCTCTCTCGCCCTCGCCCAACCCCTCTTTCCCGGACTCAGCATCAAATCCTCGAAGCGGGGTCTAATATTCACAATGGCCAAGGACAAGAGCGACAAGAAGGACAAGCGCGAGAGAAAGGAGAAGCGCGCGGAGAAGGACGGAATCTCCAAGAGCAAGAAGGATAAGAAGGAGAAGAAGGACAAGACCGCTCTCGCCGACGCCGTCGAGAAGGAGCTCACCACCAAGGTTCTGGAGGGCATTGAGCAGGCTGTCCCTGCTGATGCCACCGTCACTGGTGTTGTTGAGGCTGAGGTCATGGATGTCGACAGCAACCCCGTTGGCGCCCTCGTTCCTTTCGCCCAGCCTCTGGTTGAGGACAAGCAGGCCAAGAAGGTTCTGAAGAGCGTGAAGAAAGGTAAGAGCATCTGCCTTCGATCAACACAGACTCTCTACCATGCATTGAGTCCTAGGCCTCTGGTCTTGTGGACATAGATGAGCCCGGGAATCAGTGCAGATTTCGACTGATCAGCGCGACCGTTCCTGCCTTACCATATACTAATTGAAACGCCTCGAACAGCTGCTGTCAACAAGTGCTTGAAGCGTGGTGTCAAGGAAGTCGTCAAGGCCCTCCGCAAATCTCCCATCCCCGCCGCCAACGCTACCATCGCCGTCCCCAACGGCGTTGTCATCCTTGCCGCCGACATCTCGCCCATGGACGTCATCTCTCACATTCCCGTCCTGTGCGAGGACCACGGCATCCCATATGTCTTCGTCACATCCCGAGCCGAGCTCGGTAACTCTGCCGCCACGAAACGCCCCACCAGTGTCGTAATGGTTGTGCCCAAGTCGGCCTCCAAGGGCAAGAAGGGCGAGGACGAAGGTGAGGACTTCACCGAGGTGTATGAGGAGTTGGCCAAGTTGGCTCAGAAGGAGCTGAAGCGGGTGAACCTGTAGAGGTTCATCGGGGGTGATTTCTTTTCCGTTATTTCCTTGATCTATATGGCTTCTTTTGTTTTGTCTTGTCAACTTGCGATGGCTGTACAGTTCCACTTTGATGCCTGACAAGGCAGTGCATGTCTTTGGGGTCTGGCCTTTGGGACGTGCTTATATGGGTTGATCTTTTATGACGTGTCCGTTGCAAAATCCGGCGTTCGCAAATGGTGTATGAAAAAAAGGCAGGATGTCTTCAAAATTAAACTCAATTGACTGACAAGATATGATTCTTTTTACGAGGCGGTAGTTCCAAGATTATTTCAGTAAGCCTTCTGGCGACCTTTCAGCCTTGCCATTTTTCATTCAAAGTGCGTGGGGCAACACCGGACTCGCTCATTCTTAATGATCCACGCTAGTTCCATCCATGATGTAGGTTCATTGTTGCTTAAGGGGTATTTTTCTTAGTGCGAGGGCGTGCAATGGAAGCATTACGGGAGTGGGAAGGCTTGGCGTGCAGCGGATCTGCTCCTGAGCATCTTCATCTGCTTGAACCCCATCACACCAATATTCTGAACCACGCAGTGACTATGGCGCCGATGCTTTGGGTGGACGCTAGTCACCCTCATCGATCGTTACTAGCTGTCTTCATATTGTGGAAATGCCTGTTATTACTACTCGCTGCCTTCACACCGGGGCCCGGGTACGACACCTCGACCACACTGATTGATTGGAACAGTGATCCGACCAAAGCCCCATTACCAGCCATTTTGGAAACGATATCGACCAAATTGACCCGCTGGGATGCTATTTACTACACCCACGCTGCCAACCGGGGCTACATCTTCGAGCAAGAATGGGCCTTCGGCTACGGATGCAATCGACTAATCCATGTCTTGGCGAATGGTACTGTTTCCTGGGCTATAGAACCAACCACTAGTACCGTAACAATAATATCCTTCCAGAACTCTTCCTGGCTAACGAGCTCCCTAGGCTGTCGCAAGCTCGGCATCCTGGACTATGCCTTCAACGCGAGTCTGGTGGGCATCGCAATCTCCCACGCCGCGCATGGCCTGTCCGTGATCGCGCTCTACCATCTCGTCTGCGCGCTTTTCCGCGGCGCGCAGGGCGGCCGCAGGGTCGCGCTCCTCGCCGCCTGCCTGCACGTGGTGTCGCCGGCGGGGGCGTTCCTGTCCGCGCCATGCGCGGAGAGCGCCTACGCCCTGTTGAGCTTCAGCGGCTCGCTGCTGTTTGTGAAGAGCTTCGCCTCTTCCTCGTTGGCGGCCAGCTCCCGCTCGTGTCAACACGACACGCTGCTCGTTCTGTCCGGGGTGCTGTATGGCGTCGCCACGACCTTCCGCAGTAACGGGTTGCTGAATGGCCTCCCGCTCTTCGAGGAGGCGGCGCGGCAGCTCGTCCTGCTGTCGCAGCAGGGTGTTTCACTCGCGCAACTGCGCCGCTTGCTCGCTGTCGGGACGGCCGGGGTCTGCGCGGGGCTGGGCTTCGTCCTCCCGCAGTACTTCGCCTACCGGGAGTTTTGCACGGACCGGGAACCGAGGGCGTGGTGTCGGAGGACCCTGCCGAGTATTTATAGCTTCGTGCAGGAGCACTATTGGTACGTTTTGTCCATTCAATGCCAGTTGTTCCCGCCCCCCTCAATGGCCGACTAACTCATCTATGTACAACAGGGACAATGGATTTCTGAGGTATTGGACAGTATCCAACATCCCGCTCTTCGGCCTCGCCGCCCCCATGCTGGCCATCCTGCTGGCGTCGGGATGGCAGGCTCTGAACGGAGAATTGAGGTCGCTGTCGCTGGGGGCGGGGATGCCCTCGCGTAGTCCGGTCGAGAAGCTGCGGGACTCGCGACCGCCGCAACCGCAACCGCAACCGCAAGCTCGCGTGACGGACCGGCTGCTGCGGAGCCTGGCGGTGCCGCAGGTCGTGATTGCGGTGCTTGCCTTCTTCAATCATCATGTGCAGATCATCACGCGCGTGGCGTCGGGGTATCCGATCTGGTATGTGTGGGTTGCTTGCTTGCTGCTTCGGGGAGGGTCGGCCACGGAAGAGGGTGGTGGTTGGTATAGGAAGGGCAGTAGCCTCGTGGTGAGTTATATGGTGGTGTATGCTCTTGTTCAGGGGGTGCTTTATGCTTCGTTTTTGCCTCCTGCTTGAGGGAGGGTGGACTGGGCATGTAGGATAGCATGTCTAGATACGATCACTTCTCTATACCACTCTTGTTGGCACTGTAACCATGATCCAGGCTCGAACTATTCCTGCTTCCCAGAGTACGTACACCCTTCGATTGGAAAATCGTGTACATGCAACCAGCTCTGTGTATGTTGTTACAGGCTTGGGATGGGATGGGATCTGAGTAGTAGTAGGCAGGCAAGCAGGCAGCCTCCCTCGATCAAGACTCGGATGATCTTTCATTACTCATTCGCCGTCTGCTAGCATCGTCTACAATCCAGATGAGCTCTTCGTCCTTGGGCAACTGAATTAATCAAGGGAATCGGCATGTATTATCCTTCTTTCTCTTCCACGATTCCAACTTGCATAGTATTTATCTGTTCTCCGGTATCTCCAATTCAGAGAGGCACTCAACGTCTTGCACCAACAGGCCATTTCCAAAAATCTACTAGGTAGCAACCGGCATATACCTCTCCAATACGTAGCAATCACCGAGAAAAAAAAGGTGTCTAGGCAGTCTCGTATTTGCGTTCAATAATCTAAAAATACAATTCGTTAAGAAATTGCGACGGACCCAGTCCTTCGCAAATATCATAACAGCCCCCAACATCATAAATACTAGGAGGCCTTCCCAAAGTATACAAATTCATGTGAAGAAAACCCGCTTCGCTTTTATCGTAAAACTTCATCCCATCATGCCCGTTACCTAAGCGCGCTGGTCGGACTGCAGGGCCTGGAACGGCTGCTGGTTGTCGACGCCTTTCTGGCGGCCGGCGGGGGTACCGGCGGGCCCGCTCTCCGCCGACTTCAGCTGGAAGCCACCCTGCGCCAGACGGCCGGGGTCGTTCTCGCTGCCGATGTCGGTGGTGTAGCTGGCGTTGGGGGCGTCGTCGGGGATGTCGCCCTCCTTGAGGTTGATGCCCTTGGGCTTGGTGTTGCCCAGGTTATCGAGGACGTCGTGGACGTAGGAGGGGGCCACGCCGGCCACGCCGCCTTGGTAGCCGCTGCCGCTGGCGGGCGCCGCAGCAGTTTGCTTCTGTTGTTGCTGGCCGACGGGGTGCTTGGGCTGGTGCTGGTGGGGGTGGACCTTATCGGTGCTCTTCTGCTGCGACTGCTGCTGCTTCCCCGAAGCAGCAGCAGAGTACTCGCCCTTGTTGAGGCCTAGCTCCTGCTTGGCGGCCGTCGAGCCGCCAGTGTAGCCGGACTCCGGGAGATGGGCGCCAGGGAAGTTGCCCTGGCCGCCGAGGGCCTCCGGGTACTTGTCTTGGGTGTCGCGGTGGTTGGGGTCGATCTTGCGGGCGCTCGAGGTGTCGGTGTTGGTGACGGTGGAGTTCTTGCCGTCGACGCCCATGGGCTGGGCCCCGCGGTTCTGGGCGTAGGCGCCGCCCTTGGTGGCTGACTCGGCTGCGAGGGAGTCGTTGGTGACCGGGCCCGAGGGCTCGTTGATGGGCTGCTCATAGCGTTCGGGGTCGGAGGTGACCTATATCTGCCGCGTTAGGACATTGTTTCTCAGGGATTGAATGGGGGAGGTGTCCCCGGGGGGAAGCACTCGCCCACGGGGAGAATGCCGTGGAACAAGGAGCTTACCTTGGTGCTGCGCTGGCCGGGGGGGATGGGCTGTCCTTGGAGATCCATGATGAAGAGATTTGAGTGTTTTGTGAAAAGGGTGGTTGTTTGGGTAAGTTGTTGATGTGATGCGGGTGGTTTGATGGGCTTTGATTATGTTCGTGGGATTTGATTCTGCTCCTGTCCCTCGAATGCAATTGAGCAGGCTATATAGGATAGCATGAGCTTGCATGTCGTCAACCGGTGCAGTACATGGGAGCATGCTACATGATGTCACTCTGACATTACATGCCCACAACCGAATCCCTTGCACAATCAGCAGAGAAATAATCAGTACTCATACGTCAATGAGCTGGGCCCTGTGGCGTCAACCTTCCGATCGATGACCGGGAAGAAGAAAAGCTGAATGATGTTGTTGCCCAGATCCGTTGTCATCTCCCATCCTGCTGCAGAGAGGATCCGCCCATTTCCCCCATTCTGGACCCCCCCTCGATTGCTCTTCGCACCAAAGGAGTGGGGAGGGGGTCAGCGTTCGGTCCACACGCTTGATTGCCTTTTCCGGTATGCCGAGGAATCCTGGAATCTGATGCGTTTGTCGATAGGGAAGAAGTGGGTTGAAATTGCGCCATAAGGGCGGTTGATGCTGTGTGTCTGGATGTCTGCCAGGTGCGGTGAGCTTGCACTCTTTCCTCATGGAGTTGACTTGACGAATGACGGACCGTGGACGTCATTAGGTCGCTATCAATCAATCGCCTTTCCCTTTCTCTTATCTTATCGGTCTGTGTAGTGGTAACTTACGAGTAAACTGGCAGCATGCAGATAAATCTAGCATTTCAAAAATGGTATGAACAAGAGTAACTAGAATCAAAATTATACACATATATTTAATTTGTCTGCTATTAATATAGTGCTAATTTGTACTTTGAGTTGTTGACACTCGACCGAGCCGTCGGAGGGTCGGGGGTCCTTAGCGTCCTTCGCTACGGTCGCATCAGCATTCTGCCATTTTGACCAATGTCCCCCCGTATCACAGGTTCTCTTCACGAATGGCTCTGAACGGGCATGCTGAGAGCACTACTGTTTCTGCTTCTGCTCCTTCTCCCGCTTCGGCACTCGGGCCAGCCAGTACAGAACCAACGCGCCCACCACGTTGAAGGCGACATACGCCCACATGATGCCGAAGTTGCGCCAGCGCGTGCTGTACTCCGAATGGATCGCGGCCAGACATGCGTTCGTCTCCTTCACCTTGCAGTAGTGGCAGTCGCTCGCGGCATCCGCGTCCAGCAGATACCCGCCGGCCGTGGCGATGTGCTCGGCCAGATACGCGCCACACGTCTGGCCAGACGGCGGATCCAACACGGTGAACTCATTGCCCACGCACGTCACGTTGGCATTCGCGAGGCCGGTCGACAGGACGGCGGAAACGTAGTACGACAGAGGCGAGGCGCGGTAGAGGAAGATCCAGAACCGGGGCATCTGGGCCGGCGACGCCAGCACCCCGCAGAAGAAGAAGGCCAGGACGAACATGAAGTTGGCGATATTGCCCCCGGCATCGGCGGAGCCCGCGCAGGAGATGCACAGGTGCGCAAAGGTCGACACCCACAGCAGGAACACCCAGAAGAGGAGCCACATGAGCGCGCCTCTCTCCGTGCCCTGGCCGGCGGCGGCGTCGGCGTTGCGGTAAAACCCCACGGGGAAATAGAACAGTGCCCACATGAACACCGACGCAAGGGTGTACCAGGGGATCTCGCATAGGATCTGGCTCAGCATGAACACTTGCCAGCTGTAGGTCTTGGCTGGTCGCTCGCGAGCTTCGTACAGCGAGCGCTGTGCGATGAAGTGGGCGAATTGTTGGTCGACCAGCTGCCCGACGATGCTCATCAGCTCGAAGATTGCGAACATCTGGTTTTGCAGGCCTTGGATGCTGAGTGGCGAGTTGAGAAAAACGAGGCCGATGAACAAGCTTGTGGCGGTGCAGAGTAGAAGCTTGGAGTAGATGTAGGACGGAGTGCGCCAGGTCTGTTTGAAGGTACGCTGGGTTAATAGAACAAACTGGCGCCATGTTGACACCGCAAACTCATTATAAGAGGCCGGATCATCACGGCTGGTGCTCGGGGTATCAAATGTAGGAATGGACCGAAGTCGTGCCAGTTCGATCTGAACATCGCGGTATTCGGGGCTGGAGCGCCAGATTTCGTGCCAATCGACCTCTGATTTGCTGCCGGGGGCAGCGCCAATCGCTTCCAGCATCCATTCGCCTGGATTGGCATTCGGAGGACAAGGCTTCGCACCGTTTCTCTGGTAGTAATCCACCAGGATTTTAGAGTTGGCTCCAATGTCACCTGCGCGGTGTTAGCGCCTGTCATGCTTGACGTTGAGGCTAACTAGCCCTAAGAAGAAGATGACTCACCAAAATACACCGTCTTACCCCCTTCAGCAAGGAGTAACAGACGATCAAAGCGTTCAAATAACATGGCTGAGGGCTGGTGGATGGTACAGATGATTGATTGACCCGCCTTGGACAGTTTGGTGAGGAGGTCGAGAATAGCCCAGCTGGTTTGAGAGTCCAGCCCGGAGGTCGGCTCGTCAATGAATAGTAGCAATGGGGGCTTCGCAGCCAGTTCAACGCCAATCGTCAGACGCTTGCGTTGCTCGACATTCAGGCCTTCTCCGGGGACGCCCACCACAGCATAGGCGTAATCCTGCATGTCCAGCAACTCAATAACCTCATCGACGTAGGCCAGCTTCTCCGCCTCTGGCACACTCTCTGGTTGGCGAAGAAGAGCTGAGAATGTAAGGGCCTATGGAATAGCGATCGTTAGTGTCGATCTTCTAGGCGCTGGTGGATCTGGCGAGGCTTGTCTCTCACCTCGCGCACGGTGGTCGTCTCCAGGTGCAGATCTTGCTGCTGCGCATAACCAGTCTTGCGCTGGAAGCTCTTGTCTCGCAGCTTCCCATCAACCAGCATCTCTCCAGTCAAGATGCCCACCCCTGCGCGGCGGTCCGCAAGACAGTCCAGTAAAGTGGTCTTCCCGGCCCCCGATACCCCCATGAGGGCTGTCAAAGTGCCTGGCTTCACCCACCCATCCACATGATCCAGAACCCGTCGGGGTTTACCTTTGATCTTGATATCGTAGCACACATTGCTCCAGTGGAATACACCTCGGGTGCCCTGAAAGGTCGGCTCCTGGGTGGGCTTGTAGTCACCCCTCGGCTTTTCGAGTAGGGCTGTCACTGGGCCTGAGGGCAACGACTCGACGTCTGACTTACCCCAGGGCAGGAATCGTGGGACAAATCCGCGACGGAAGACAAGAATTGCCCCTTTAGACTTCTTGGCCGTGACATACTCACTCGCTAGGAAGTAGACGAGGTGATTGAAGATCACCATGGTGATGATGATACCGACGTTGCGCCACTTGTGACTATGGTAGTAGCTGTAGGCGGAGCCGATATACGCATCCCCGTTCACGTAGTCTTGGCCGCGCACCGCGCCCACGGCGTCACAGGCTACACTCGTGCTGCCAGCGGACGTATAGGCTGGGATATATGACGCACAGGTGAAATTGCGCGCGTGATATTCGTTGACCATCAGCGATTCGTACCCATAAGCGACCGGATTGAGGTAGTTGATCCAGCGGCACCAGGAGAGCATGTAGCGGATTGGAACCACGAAGCCAGTGAAAACGAGCAGGGCAAGCATGATAATCGAGGCGGGAACCATTGCTTGTTGTTCTGTTCGAGATACAGCGCCACTGATAGGTTCTTAGCCTTTGCATAACATCTCAGATGGGACAGTGCACTTACATAAACCGGAAGACTCCCGACATGGCGAGAACAATCAGAAAGACCACAAACAGGTAATAGAAGAAGTTGCCGGGTGTCCGGTTGAGGTTCGTCATGAAATAGAACACGAGATTGAACGAGACTGTTCCTGTGATTTTCATGGGTAAGTCGACCAGGACCGAAGCATACGACTCGGCGGAAGCGTGGTAGAAAGCATAGCGGACCTGCTTCTCGACAATCGGTCGCTGGGCATAGAGAGTCATCACCTCCAGAATTGAGGCAAATGCATTGAACAGAATCGCCATGAATAGCACAACAGCTCGCCCGTAGAACGAGGCCGTCGTCTGGTCGAGGTTGTAGAACAGGGAGGACATGATCAGGGCCATGATCACGTTTCCGATCATAACCCACACAGAGGGACCAGGGTCGGCCCAGAATCGCCTCCATCCTCGCCACATGCACAGTCTCACTTGCTGGGAATAGCTGAGGAGATAAGGCGAGTTGAGGCGCTGTCCCTTGGCTTGACAAGCTCTCTTCAGCTGTCTGTAGGCGACAGAGTCAGGGCCGTCGATTGGGTGCTGGGCTTTGTAGAGCTCAATGCTCTGCTGGAGTGCTTTATACTCCTCACTCCTTATCCAGGCAGCTGCAAAGTCGTCTGCCGTGCGAGGTGGGTTGCATTTCGCACGAACGACGCGTTCTGCAGGGAAAGCCACGGAGGTGAGAAAATCTGGGGTGGTTTGACGAGCCGGACACTCAAAACCAAGATCGACGAAGTACTGCTTCGCCCGGTGAGCGGGGCCAAAGTAAATCTGCCGCCCTTCGTAGAGGACTAGAGCTTTATCGAAGAGATCGTATGCGCTTTGCGGTGCTTGATACATTGACACTGCGCAGGTCTGACCGAATAGCTCCGACTGCAGCCGCAGCGTTTTGCAGAACTCGATGGCGTTGGCAGCGTCGAGACCGCGTGTTGAACTGGGAATTGTTCACCATCAGTCTCAGAAGCTCCAAATTCTGGTCTGCTACTCACTTGTCCCAACACTGGAAAGGCGCATTGGCTAGGGTAGCCTCGGCAATGCTTACACGTTTGCGTTCGCCTCCAGAAACTCCCCGCACGAATTCGTCCCCAACCTTGGTGTGAATGGTGTGACTGATTCCGTACATGGCCATAACGACATCACGCAGATGCTCGCAGTATCTAAATGAGTAAAGGTAGGTCAGCAATTAATTCAAGCGGCGGAGTCAGGTTTAGAGCATAGATGACTTACTGTTTTCGAGTGACGCCGTCCGGGAGCTCCCTTTGACAGCGTGCAGATGCGGCAAAGGTGAGGGTATCCCCAACCGTCAGCATAGGAAAATGAACATCAACCTCAGCGGTATAGATTGCATCTCCTCGGTGAGCTGTGTGCATCTCACGATCCGAGATTCCGTGATAGTTGAAATACGATCCCTGGTTGATATGGATGCCATTGCGATCCCCGGAGATGGCTCGGAGGAAGGTCGAGCAGCCAGACCCTGGGGGACCCAGCACAACACACATCTCTCCAGGGTCTAGAATGCCATCAAAACCTCGTAAGATGTCTACCCGTGTCTGCCCTGACTTAGTGGCGCTGGGCCAAAACCGACGGGCAATCATCCCGGGCAAGGCGAGCCAGATATTCGCAACCGTCTTCTGAAAGTCCGTCGAAGTGCTATAGCCAAAGACATGAAGATCCTGAAAGCACAAACCGACGCGACGGAAGTCCTGGCCTCTCTCCGCCGCCAGCTCAGCGACCCCTGTAGCCCATGCACGCGCATTGAATCTCTTGCTGAATGGGTTCAGCGGAGATTCGGGATCATTGGCTGGAGGGTCTGTTTCCTCTGGGGGGTTGTCGGCAGGAAATGCGGCCGTCATGTTTTCGTGAGGCTCAAGTCTGTAGTAGGAGTAATAGAAGATGCTATGATGAACGAAGAATTCAGGAAGTCCACCGCTCTTGAGACATCATCAGCCAGAACATATATCTTAAGAGATGCTAGTCTGCAGAGCTGTGGTATGTAGGGCAATACTTTCGGTCTATGCCGGACTTAACAACGGC